TTCTGTCTGAGACCGGCGGGGTAAAAAGATTGTTGATCCACGTGGGGGCAGTAGACGTCTATGACAACACAAGTGAAAAGTTGAAACGGGATTACTCTCTATTATTGGACGACCTTGCTAAAATGGACGCAACAATCGTTATCAGTGGCCCACTACCAAATGTGGACGGGAAGCAAATGAAATTCAGTCGTCTGTATCAGCTAAATACTTTCCTACTCAACGAATGTTCACGCAGAGGACTTGCCTTCATTGAGAATTTTAATCTGTTCTGGAATAGGCATGAGCTTTTTGAAGGGAAAGGGCCACATCTGAACACTTACGGAGTAAAAGTGCTGATGGATAACCTTTCTTTTGCCCTGAGATCTCAGCCTGCGCAGCGCGTGCAGCCATCGAAAGGGAGGAAGCCGACTCCAAAAGTCTCTGCACCTCCACCACCTCGAAGGATCTCAGAAGCAGCTGCATCATCACCAGCAGCAGCTGCATCATCACCAGCAGCAGCTGCATCATCACCAGCAGCAGCTGCATCATTACCAGCAGCAGCTGCATCATCACCAGCAGCAGCTGCATCATCACCAGTAGCAGCACCAGCAGCACGACCACCACCACCATCCTCATCCCCAGCCTGCTCCAAAGCAGCCACGCCTTCTTCATCTACAGCGCCTCTGAAGCCCCAATCCTCACCCCAGCCTACAGCAGACAGGCCTGTGCTGGGGTTTCCTCAACCACCTGCCCCTCCATTAAAGACTCCCTCGCCACCTCCCAAGGACCTGTCTTGGGTCCCCCCTGCCACGTCCACTCCATCAAGAGAGAATGGGGACACCTCCCTTTGTTTTTCATCCCCGCCTTCACTGTTAGACCTACCTGAACACTCTGCAGGGCTAATAAAATCGGCGATGAAGACTATTCCTCTCACACCCATATTAGCTCGATCTAGAGTCCTGTCCAACATTCTAAACCACTCCCCATATGTACCTCCAAAACCACCTAGGGTTTCCAATTCACCTACAAAAACCACCTCAGCCAGTCCCTCCCCTAACCTCATGACCATTCCACCCCCACTTCCCCCTCGTTCAACATCCAAAACCTCTGCCTCAGCCCACCCCGGCCCTAACCCATCACCTAAAACCCCTCCACCTCCCTGCCCCCCTCGTTCAACACCCAAAAGCCACCCACCTCTCCATCCTCCTCCCCCGCCTTCCCCACCCCTCTTTTCTCTAAACACTAGGATGCACAGGGTCTCTGCTTCGCAGCCACTGGCAGTCTAGTTAGAGGAGAGACCCGGCTGGGGCCCTGTCATGAAGCCACCTGTGCCATTCCCTTAGTGATAACACAAAGAATACATTACAGAAAAACATCTGGAGTTAATCAGTCTAATCTGGAAAATCTAATTCTTGTTCCGTGTAAGAATCAGCCGACCGCAACCGCTGATACTGAAACTTTGAAACTTGCTACGCTTAATGTCAGATCTCTTTGTAACAAGTCTTTTTTAATCAATAATTTTATTTCTTCTCATAATCTTGATCTTATGTTCATGGCTGAAACTTGGCTTGACCAAAATTCAGAAAATGCAGTTTTAATAGAAGCATCACCACCAAATTTCAAGTTTGAATCTGAAATACGGGAAAACAAAAAAGGAGGAGGCTTAGCTGCCATTTTTAGAGACCACTTTGTCTCCCATAGAATGTCTCTTGGGAAGTTTTCGTCATTTGAATATGTGTCTTTTAAAATACAACAAAAACAATCTCCTCCAATACTCTTCGTTGTCCTATACAAGCCACCGCAGTCATGTCACAGTTTTATTGATCATTTTACCGAGTTGCTTTCAGTTGTATGCACAGATTTTGATAGTTTGGTTATTACAGGTGATTTTAATATTCATGTGGATAATGTTGATGACAGAAATGCAAATGAGCTGAGTTCTGTACTTGAATCCTTTGATCTCACTCAGCACGTAAGTGGCCCCACCCACAGCAGAGGGCACACTCTAGATCTGTTAGTTACAAAGGGGGTGATTATTTCAAATGTAAACGTGGTCGATGTTGCTCTTTCGGATCATTTCTGTGTTTTTTTTTGACATGTGTTTCACTAACAAACCACCAGTGGACTTTGCAACTGTTCGAAGAAGGCGCATAAATGAAAATACGAGTGAACTATTTATGGAAATGATAAACTTTGAGAATGCATCGTATTCTACTGTAGATGAACTGTTTAACTCTGTCACCTCTAGTGTTTTGAATGTTCTGGATACCGTTGCCCCTGTGAAGGTTAAAATAGTGAAAAATAAGCAGAAGGCGCCGTGGGCTAAAGCAGACTCGGTCAGGGCACAAAAGAGAAAGTGCCGGAGGGCCGAGCGGAAGTGGCGCAAGTCCAACCTCCAGGTAGATTACGAGATCTTCAAAGATAAGTTGTGCGAGTTTAACCAGGTGCTACGTAATACGAGAGAAAGGTATTTTTCTGAAATGATTGAAGGCTGCAGCAACAATCTGCGTGTTCTGTTCTCAACAGTTAATAGATTAACAAACCCCCCTGTTCAAATGCCATTAGAGCTTACTTCCAAACGTAAATGCAATGAGTTTGCTAATTTTTTCAATGACAAGGTTCAAGGCATCAAAAGCGCCATTGTCTCCAATCCACAGATAACCATCCAACAGCCAGAAAGGCTCTCTGAGCTAACTCACTTTGCACCTGTAAATGATAAAACTGTCCAAGAGATAATCTCCAGTTTGAGCTCCTCCACATGCAGCCTGGATGTACTACCCACTAGATTTCTGAAGTCTGTTCTGAGCAGTCTGTTACCTTCACTCACACAGATAGTAAACATGTCCCTTCATTCTGGAATATTCCCAAAGGCCCTGAAAACTGCAGTCATCAGGCCCCTGCTAAAAAAGAGCAGTCTGGATGCCACTGTACTTAACAACTATCGTCCTATCTCAAATCTGCCATTTATGGGGAAAGTCCTTGAGAAAGTTGTCTACCTACAGCTTACTAGATTTCTTATAATCAACAACTCATTTGATATGTTTCAGTCCGGCTTTAGACCCCACCACAGCACTGAGACTGCTCTCGTTAAGGTTACAAACGATATCCGGCTGAACACTGACGCAGGCAAAGTCTCAATCTTAATCTTGTTAGATCTAAGTGCTGCCTTTGACACCGTCGACCATGAGATCCTCTTACAGAGACTAGAGGACTGGGTTGGCGTCACTGGCACCGCCCTAAGTTGGTTTAGGTCTTACCTTGAAGACAGGAAGTACTTTGTGGAGATTGGAAACTGTGTCTCAGATCATATGGCCCTGACCTGTGGAGTCCCACAGGGGTCGATCCTGGGACCTCTTCTGTTCAATCTCTACATGCTGCCGTTAGGTCAGTTAATACGCAGAAACAAAGTTTCCTATCATAACTATGCAGACGACACTCAGATCTATGTCTCACTGACTGCAGGAGAACATGGACCAGTGGACTCACTCCTTCACTGTATCCAACAGATCAGTGAGTGGATGCAAAACAACTTCCTTCAGCTAAACGCAGACAAAACTGAAATGATTGTCTTTGGTCCCCGAAACAAAGAGAGAGCGTCATCTGTCACCTACAGTCTCTCTCCCTAAAACCTTCAAACAAGGTCAGAAATCTAGGGGTAATACTGGACTCAGACTTAAATTTTAATAGCCACATCAAATCAGTAACATCAGCAGCTTTTTACCATCTAAAAAACATTGCCAGGATCAAAAACATAGTGTCTAAAGCAGACCTGGAGATTCTTATCCATGCATTTGTCTCCAGTAGGTTAGACTACTGCAATGGCCTGCTCACAGGTCTGTCCAAACAGGCTGTAAAACAGCTGCAGTACATTCAAAATGCAGCAGCTCGAGTCCTGACAAGAACCAGGAAGTACGACCACATTAGTCCAGTCCTCAGGTCTCTGCACTGGCTTCCTGTGGCTCAGAGAATAGACTTTAAAACAGCTCTGCTTGTGTACAAGTCTCTCCATGGCCTCGCACCAAAATATATTAGTGACATGTTAGTCCCATATGAACCAGCCCGGACTCTGAGGAGCACAGGGACTGGACTCCTGTTAGTGCCCAGAGTCAGAACTAAACATGGGGAGGCTGCTTTTCAGATTAATGCTGCTAAAATCTGGAACAGTCTTCCTGAAGATGTGAGACAGGCCTCCTCTCTGACAATGTTTAAAACCAGGTTAAAGACGGTTCTGTTTAACTGTGCATACAACTGAGGGATTTTATATTTTTATCTTTTTTTTTAATGTTCTGTGATAATTTATGATTTTAATGCTTTCTTGTTTTGTTCAGCACTTTGAATTGCCTTGTGTATGAATTGTGCTATATAAATAAACTTGCCTTGCCTTGCCTTGCCTAATCTCAGCCCATGTGACGTCACGGTTTTGGGGCCCTGCTGTGCGCCTCCTGAGTATATGTATTGGTACAGTAGCTGTGCCCCGGCAGAGCTCACGATGCAAGACTGTATGTCGGCTCTCCGCATATATATGTGTAAAATAAATGTGTTTACATCTTTGATTTAAGACAAATACCTTTCCAGCTTTTTCCTTTATTGGGGTATGAAATTCCACAACAGACCATATTTTATCGAGCCAGCAGGTGGCAGCATTTCTCTCTGAATGGTTTGAAAACATGTAGGTGCACATGTTGTGCCTCTTTTTTCTCAACTTTCTGGTGATTTCTGGTGATTTCAGTAAAACTTCCCTCTACTCAACGGAGGATTACAGGGGAACGAAAAAAGCTATAAACAAAATTATTTTTGCTGAGGAAAGTAGACAGTCGGATTTCAGATAGTCATAGTACACAATATTCTATGGGTCTTGAAAAATCAGTAAAAATCATCATAAATGGCTGGCACTGTGGGAGTACCTGTTCTGAAATAGGCTGGCATTCAATGAGTAGATAGAGGGGATTACGGTCAGTTTGTTATTGAATATATTTCAGCGCATTTTATTCAGTATAACATAAATAAATTAAAACATTCACCCTTCTTTGCAGCGATAGAACACTCGGTTTCCCACTTCATAGTTCTCTCCGACAGTCTCAGCATCATCTAAAGCCGGCGGTTCCCCACACTCTACACTGACACACCTAGGGACAGGTCTGCTCCATTCTCCTGACACTTCACAGACCACCTCCATTGAGCCCTGTGGTCTTTGCAAAAACATTACATTTAAGTGCACACCACAACACAGTAAATTAGCAATTGCACATGTATGGTACTAACATACCTGTATCCCTCGAAACAAGTGTACGTCACAGTTGACATATAAGTGTTTGAGTTCAACCTGTAGCCAGCATTCGCAACAGTCGGTGGTCCTCCACACATAACTGGATGACAAATGGGAGGAGACCCACTCCATCTTTGAGTTGCAAGACATTGGAAGTCATAGGGTATCTGAGGCAAATAGCCCTCTTTACAACTAAAGACGTGATGAATAGACACATTTCAGAATGATAGTGATGGTTAAGTATTCAGAAATTCTTCAAACAGTGTTAAAGCTATTACCTGAATGTTACCTTGCTTCCATAGGTAAAATTATTTCCTGTCATAATGGAGTTTTCTGGAACATTTGGTGTTGGGCAGGAGAGAGCTAAAAATGTATGTATTATAAAAGATATGAGAATAATTCTAATAATGTTTGGTACCTCATGTTTTGTCTTTGAAATGGTTAAAGTTCTGAATACTACACATCAAATAAACATATTCTAATTGTAAAACTACCTCTGCAATATGGGCGCATGTTATCCCAGTCTCCTGTTTCGAGGCACTTTAGACGAGCTGCCCCAATGAGCTCATATCCATTATCACAGCCAAAGACGCTTTCGCTGCCCATCAGGAAGTTGCTACTTTCTCGGCGGCCATTGACTGGAGCACCCGGGTCTTCACATTTAACTGGCTCTGATAAAAAAAATAAAGTAATGTGTTTTTCCAACAAAATGTATTTAAATGTCACATTCTAATCATTGTTAATATCAATGCACTTACCAGTACAGTTCTTGCCATCCCCACTGTAGGGATGGATACAAGAACAGATATATGAACCCTCTGTATTTTGACATCTGGCATGGTCATCACAGTCAGACCCCAGAGCGCACTCATCCACATCTAAAACAAAAGAAAAAAATAAATTATATAGAAACATTATATAAATGTTTTTATTGCATTTTCTAAACCGAAAGGTACCAAGACAAGAGGGTTGATTTCCTCCCCACTTTCCGTTGTTAGCGCAGTGCATCTTTGCATCTCCCAAAAGGTAAAAACCAGTGTTACATTGGTACATGACAGAACTGCCAGCGTGGAAGTCTGTGCCCTTGAATAACCCATTCTCCAGTGGGCGAGGAGATTCACAAGCAACTCCTATTTTTCAACAACAACATAGTTAAGTGCTAAGCACAGGTTATTCTTCTAATTTACTTTTTAACGCACACTTACTTTCACAAGTGGCCACTTGATGGCTCCACTCGCCTTTGTTTTGGCACTGCAGCACAGGCTCCCCCACCAGGTAGAAGCCGGGATCACAGGACAGCTGCACCTGAGCCCCAGGACTGACCTCCACAGTGGACACGTGCAGGTGAGGCACAGCATTCTCCAACTGTGGGCAGTCTGAAGAGATGTGTACTGTTTAATCACTATCACACTGAATAATTCAGATTTATTGTGGGAATTTACCAGCACAGAAAATGCTGTTCTGGTTGACTTTAACACGTCCCACAACTCCTTTAAGGAAGTCTGGCCAGGCAAGTACGTTGCCTCTGTGCATCACACGAGAGGCTGGGCAGCTGCTGGACAGGACCTTAATCTAAATAAAGAAATACACTTTTAACTTTTCATTGTTTATACCATTATAGTAGAGTGCATCCTTAATGTAAACGTAAGAACCTGCTGGGGCGTAAGAACCCTGTCCCAGATGTTGAGCTGGCTGATGGATCCAACAAAGGACTCGACAGGATTAAAGCCATCACCTCTTTGGTCCTGGTCCTGGCCTAATACCAGTGCCCCACCACCTACAATTCCCAGATTTATAATTAGGCGTTTTTCTAACAGAATATATTTTTTAAACTATGTGTTACCCGAAAAGATAAACAATGAAAACCATCAAATTAAACTGCAAACAAGGAGATAGCACTACACCTGGGATAGTGGAGCCAACAGACAGGCCTTTGCCTCCATCTGAAGGCTTTCCATTAATGTAAATTCTCCAGTCACCGTCCCAGCTCCTCCATGACACTCCAATGTGGTACCACTGACCAGTGTTAACCGCAGGGCAGTCCGTGATCCGCTCCTTTCCATTTACATATAGTACCCATCTGAATAAGAGGAAAATAAGTGATGCATCAATAAATATATGGACATTTAATGAGCAATTGCACATGAAATACTGACCCATTATAGTCTATTAGTAGAAAAGCATTATCACTGCCTTCCACTGCATAAGAGATGGGTGTGCCATAATTGGTTGTGTCTGAGGATTTCATCCAAAAAGAGCAAGTGACCTCTGTCAATGCTGGCATGATGCCATCCATCATTACGTATCCATGGATACCAGAAACCTCAAAGTCAAGGTTGAAAGCAGATGACATTTCTTAAAGAAAAGAAAAGCATGGAAAATATAAAGATAAAAAGTCACCAAAACACAAATCTAACATAAGTCAATGTATTGTGTATTCCAAAATGATTCCAGATTTACAGTGTGTAGCTGAGAGAAAAGTGTCTAGCAAACTAAAGATCCCACTGTTTTGTCATACATATAGTACCTGTCTCACACCTGGTTCCGTTGAACCCAGGGAGACAGCGGCAGATGTAGGAGCCCAGGCCATCGAAACAATTAGCTCCATTCAAACAAGGGTTAGGGTCACACTCATTCACATCCACTTCACAGAGTCTGCCCATGTATCCTTCAACGCACTGGCACCTATAAAAAAACAGGGCACAACAATGCAAGGATGAAATAACCATATTAACTATTATCTGCATTTACCATAGCTAGAAAAAAGAACCACAATGTAATATGGTTTTACCTAAAGTTGTTAACTTCATCCAGACACGAGCCGCCATTGAAACACGGGGAACTGTCACATTCATCAATGTTAGTCTTACATTGACTTCCTGAAAACCCAACAGCACATTCGCATGTGTAGCCTTCAGTCAGGTCTTCACAAACCCCTCCATTCAAACATGGATTCGAAAGGCATTCATCGATTTCAAGCTCACAACGGGACCCTTCAAAAATAATAAAAGCCAATATTCAATGAAAGTCAATATTCATTCAAAGTCAATATTCGCTATGTTATAAAACCTTGACTTTTATCATCTTGTTTGTGGTTAGTCAGTAATAAATAAATAAAAAACAAACCTGTAAAGCCATCTCTACAACTACATGTATATCTATTGACTTCATCCACACAGATTCCATCATTTAAACAGGGAGACGACGAACACTCATTGACTTCAGCTTCGCATAAAGACCCTAAAACATACAGTATTTACATTTAACATACATTAATAATGATCTGAATGAAAAGAGGAAGCACATCAAGTTAATAATAATCCAAAATAAATGTGTTTGCTGCTGTTTACAACCATTTATGTTATATGACATTCAAAATTGGCTATAATGTTATCGTCGATTGAACGAGCTTACCTAGAAATCCAGCCTGGCACTGACACTGGAAGCCTCCCAGACCATCTTTACACAGACCTCCATTTTGACAAGGAGTAGAATCACATTCATCAATGTCAACCTCGCATTTAGCACCTGGGAGACAAATATCACAAACATGATCGAATGCTTTTGTTCACTTGTAACACAACAGCTCTGACTGTCATTAACTAGAGTTATGTCCCTTGGCTGCTTCCACACACAGATTTATGTTTTCTATAATCAAGTAGTAGTGGTAGTAGTAGCATGACTCTCACCTGAAAATCCTGGCATACAGGTGCAGACATATCCAGCTCCAATTTCCTCACATGTGCCCTTATTCTGGCAAGGATTCAGAAAGCATTCATGGAAAACCTACAGAATATGAGACTTGTGAAGCAAATAAAAGCAAACTCAAAGAACTCAATTGCAAAGCGAGAATGATACAATGAAGAGATGGATGATTCATTATTTCTTAAGCTAAATTAAACTAACCTGACTGCTGGCTTGGTAGTCCTCGACAACCTCCACAACCGGAGCAGCTGTCACACTCTCCTCCTTTGGAAGAAAACTTGAGCTAAAGCCTGACAATGACACCCAAATAAAATACATACAATACAAGAAAGGGAAAGCTGGAAAAACATGCACCAGAGTGTTCAAGTTTAATTATCAACAACTGTCCTTTATATATCATAATTTATGATGAGGACTGAGTTGCCACAAACCCAATTACACGTATTTCTGCCATAATCAAGAAAATATTAAGTTGCTTACTAGAGCAAAGCTGAATGGTTGTTGTTCCCGTGTTTGTAGTAGTCCCATAAAAAGGGCAGGAGAGGCAGTATGAACGCCCATGGTCCGGTTGATAGTAATCTCTTGGGCACGGATAACAAGGAACCAACCCAGTCCGTGAGAAATGACCAGGTGAACAAGGAACTATGGAGAAAAAAAGAGATAAACATGCATGACATACTGGAGGTGATGAAGTCGTAAAACAGTATTTAATCAGTGGATGAAGAACACTCTCTTTACAGTAAACACAAGAGGACATTAGAGGTGGTTAATAGTCAATGAGGCCGAGAACCAATACATTGTCTTGTTTGTTGCAACGTCTTGATTAGACACATATACAGTAAGTACTAAATTAATGCTGAATTGGCTTTTGTGCTGTGCAGTAAACTACAGTAATTAATGTTTGTGTTGAATAGTAAACTATGGCATAACAATATATCAATATTGGCCTTCTGTATATACGGCGGTGCAGATAATTGGCCGACCCAAATGGTTAATTTATTATCTATATAGCTTGAGATGTTTAGAGAAGGTATGCCGAAACTTTGTACATCAAAAGATACTAAATATTATATTTTACCTCCGCACTCTTCTGCGTCCAGTGCTCCCCTGGTCACTGTTGAGGTCTTATCAGGACAGAGAAGACATTCCCTCGCCCCATACCCAGGCTGGAAATGTCCCAGTGGGCAGGACTCACAGATCTCCAGTCCATTTAAAGAGTGGCTGCCAGGTTTACATTGCCCTGAAAGGATCATGTATTATTATTGTGTTTGTGTCTATTGTGATATGTGTACAGTAAAAGTACCTTTGCATTCGGACTCGCTGCGAGAATGGAGATATGCTGTAGACAATCCTTCAGGGCAGGACTTACACTCCAGCTGGCCCTCTTCGTCTTGGTATGACCCCAGCCAGCAGCTTTCACATTCATTATATTCAAGAGAAAAGTAGGTGCCAACTGGACACTGGACTGTAATACACCAGTGAAAAAATTCTGTTTTAAGTAACATGGTAAAATTGTAAAACATGGAAAAACAATAACTTAATACTAACCACACATTCTGCCTCTGAGAACAGAACCAGGCCGACAAAACAGGGACGCCCTCCTGCTTTCAATTGATTTCGGATCAGCAACAATCATTTGGGACGACAGATGAAAATTGGACAGTGGCTGCTTGGCCAAGGTTCGCTTCAGTCTGTTGGTAAGTTGTTCAAGGGTCCGAAGCAGTCTTTTCTGATTGGCTACCTCTGTGGAATCATTCCTTGACAGAGGCAGAGGAATGCTTGCTGGGAAAATGGGTTTAGATTAAACGATGTGGAGTGCATATCTTGAACAGTACATTTCTCCTGTGTGAGATTAATAAAGTCTTATCTTATCTTATCTTATCTTAACAGAATGTCTACAGCACTTATTCATGTACCTGTGATATTGAAGAATATTTGAATCTTTTGATCACGCGTGGGCCCTCTGATTCTTCTGTGTCTCTTGGTTCGATGGTGAGTTGACACGCTGCTGCCTTTGCTTCGACTGGGCAGCTGTCTCGTATCTGTAGCAAAGCCTGATTCAAAGTAGGAATAATCCTGATTACCCTGGGAACTCCAGCCTCCTGGAGCTTCAAGATGTCATTCAGGGAGAAAGTTAGACCTTTAATTGAGACAAATGTGAATATATTCCATGACTCATCACTTACCAATTGAAAAGCCATTCTCATAGTCATAATTATACTCCAGACAGTTTCCCTGTGACATCACTTCGAGCTTGCATGTGACGTCATCACTGCTGCAGAGGTTTGGGAGCTAAAGAGCAAATGCAAGAGGCATTGGAGGGGGGTGTACACAGCTCAGGATTCCAAGCCAAAGAGGGATAAGTTGCCCTTACCAAGCTTTCTAGTTTAATGTTGAACTCCCCAGCAAATGACTTCACCAGCTCTAGCTCATCACAGCGAGTGGCTTTGAACAACATCTCAAATGGCTTATATCCATTGTTTGCCACACGGTTCACTGCAGTCGCAGAATAATGTCTCAGACATGACTGAACATAATTTGTTTCAATTAAAAACACATTCTTACCTGAACAGTCGGGCCGGTCTGAAGAGGAGGGGGGTTGCCACACACCATTGTAGGCACAGAAGTAACTGTGCACTGCTGCCTGAGTAAGGCTGTAGCCCTCTTTACACTGAAGAGTACAGCGGACCCCCGTCTCTTCTTCAGAGCACAAAAATTCCCCATTCATCGGCATGTACGGCTGGTCACAGTTTGTCCCTGTAATTTAAAAAGCTTTAACCAAGAAGGTCAAAGCAGTGATTCACATTTTGAGGTTTAAAACATACCTTGTACAGTTACAGTTAGGTTACAAATGCGACTGTTCCCAGCAGCATCAGTGGCTGTGTACTGAACCAGAGTCTCTCCATCAGGAAACAAAGAACCAGGAGTGTGAGTACTGGTCACTGTTAAACGGCCCGCTGTAGAGACACAATGTTGTGAGTGTATAAATATTATTTTTGCATAAGCTAAACTTAATAATTACTATATTGTATGATTGTCTCATCTTTTTCAAAAAATATATACAGTATATCCAATAATTTGATCTTACAGTTCATATTCTATTTACTTTTTCAGTTTTGCATGGTAACAGTAGCCACCATTCCAGTAGGACTGGCATATGTCTGAGCTTTAGGAGTCTGGTGTCTACACTTCGAGACTGTTTATGTGCTTCGGTCCAGTTCTATATATAGCACTGGCATCAGGGTGTAGGCTTGGAAAACAAAACATTGACGTAGAAGTGTGTTGGGCTTGACGTGGTGTGGCCCAGGGCCGCCACAAGAACCTGTTATTACAGTATGTGTGTGAAACAAGTGTGTGCACGTGCATTTAACAGGAGGCCCACATTAAAAGACTGTGGGGAATCTACATGTCAGGACCTGAGATTGATATGTGAACATTTGGGTTTATACCTAATGTGGTCTCTGCAACAATGCCTCGACATGTGTCAGAGTTTGTAAAAATATATCGGTAGTGTCATTTGTGTGCAAGTGGGCGCCAGAGCCAGTAAATTACATGGGTCAGGTTATGGGCTGGAGCCCAGAGAAGTCTGGTTTGTAGTCTGTCACCACCAGTTCTGTTTGGGTAAAGTGGGGAATGCCAGGAGTAAGCAGGTCTTGATATTTAGTCTATTTGAGTGAATTGCCTTCGAGTGCATCTTTATACAGAACTGGACTGCATCAACCTGAGGGTACAAGGGTGGCCTCAGAAGAAGGGACACTGTATCCCACATCAGTCTCACTCTTGGCTTCCAAGTACATTGATTGAACCTCTACAGCAGAAAAGTCAGAGTCAAATACATCAGAGGGCCAAAAAAACAAATTTGCTACAAGCCGAGGGCCGGACAAGTTCAATGTTTATTAAAACATATGAAATTGATTGCATATAACCTATTGAACCAAGACCTAACACGGTGTACCATAATTTATTTCATGATTAAATGAATAATCCAATATTTTTGTATGGTTCAATCAGTAATTTCAAGGGATTTTTTTTTTTACTCACAGGCAAAAACAAACTTCCTTCAAAGAGAAAACACATGTCCTGAACATTAAATGAATAATCCAATATTTTAGAACTCTGTACGGGCTGGTTCTAATACTAATCTAACATCATCCAAGCAAAGATAATTTATTGACTTTGACACCCATGCTCTGAATCCTTTAAATTAGTGTCTCCTAAAGTGGGGTCCGGGGCCCCGCTGGGCGGCCACGAAGGTATTGCAGGGGGGCCACGAGAGGTCATAAAATATATAATTATTGTATGTTAAATTGATAATATTTTGTTTGTAATATTAAAATATTTGTGTTCATTATTTGACTTAAATCATAAAATTGTAAGATTTTTTTTATTACAAAATGCGTCATTTATATGTTTGTAGCAGAGGCTATTTCCCCCAAATAAATGAAACGAGAAGAGCCTATTTTTAACATTGTCTTATTTTTATTATTTCGGGGGGCCGCGCAGACCCTGTTACTGATTTTGGGAATGGCTGCTTTAAATTAAAACATCTTCGGAAATCAAGTATTGAACAATTTTTACTTGTGTGTTTGAATAGTAAAAACAATAGTGTGTACACATTTTCCAGAGACTAAGGTATCATTAGTGGAGACTAAGGTATCATTAGTGGAGACTAAGGTATCATTAGCAAAAAGATTATAGCCGTGTGGAGTTTGCGAGCGCACTGCACATACCTGAGTTGTCAGAAAACTGTGGCACTTCCCAAACCACTGCTGTCTCTGTGTCTGTGGCTTGGACTGGAGGCGGTGACCTGCACCTGTCTATAACCGGGGGATCCGTATCTAGAGTAATGTTTAAAATAGTGGATCAAGATATGTGAAAAATATCAAACAGACAAAATTGAGAAAACTAAAGACAATTTGAACAAATACAAATGTTGACTATGCAGGAGGCAGACGTGCACTGTGTCGGGGGCATTAGTTAAACACATGTCTCCAATAAAAAACCTCAACGTTCCACCACCATAATAACATATGGAAATGTTCACGGCTACCATGCTTGAGGTTTCCCCCCTCGACTGCTATGATTATTGCACGGCTGACATGGGACACCCCTGTTTTTCGTTCTTTACTGTAACCCCATTTGGCACCTGCTCAGGGGGAAGGGGCTGGTAACTTATGTGTCAATTGGAGTTCAGAATGACAAAAATGTCTTTAAAAGGGTGGGGCAGCAAAAGGAATTCTTACTATTTGAATCCTGCTCTCTTGATTTTACCACTCTTTAATCTATTTTATGGGGAGACTTACCAATAACAGTGACCGTAAAGGAGCAGTTTGCTTGATTACCAGAGCGATCGGTAGCAAGATAGGTAATGGTTTCTATTCCAATTGGAAGCAGTTGTGGAGGAGTGTACACAGGCTTTACTTGTACAGACACCTGAAATTATAAATAATAATGCATTGGTTTCATGAAGCGTGTTTTTTGGACACTCAAAGACTTCATTCAGACAAGACTCATATCAGGCAATGTGGGTGAAGTGTCTTGCCTAAGAACAAAGCAGCAGATTAGCACTTTACAGCCTCAGCCGCCCCACTGTGGCACCTGGTGTTCCCAGAGGTCTATCACACTCTATCACAGTACTTACCTGACAGAATCAGGCTTTCTCGTGCAAATATGGCAGATAGTTGTATTTATAGTATGAGTAAACATACAAAACTAAATAAAATCAGATAGAAGCACACCTCGTCCTTAGAGTTATCCAGTGCCGTAGGTAGATTCCAGCTGACAACAGCAGTGTTACGGCGCTCATCTGTCTCTGCAACAATATCATCTGGACACTGGACCCAAGGAGGCTCGGTGTCTGAAGAGACACATGATCACAATTATAACGTTCACAAACACTACCTCTATTACGGTAAATATTATTCATGGAAAATTCAATAATCACAGACCTCAATGAGTGGGTGATGCAAAAATTAAATTAATCTTGATCAGGGGTCTCTAAACTGTGGCTCAGGAGCAACCAGTAGCACGCCACCCCCTTTCAGGTAGCTCACCGAAGGATTCAATAATTTGACACAAGATCCTGAATGATTCACTTTTGAGTCATAGCATCTATTTTAACGGTTCATCTTTTCATTAATGCAGGGACAGAGTATGGTTTAGTGGTCTATGATACATGTGTGTTCCCCATGATTGACTGTAGTTATTATAATATATAGACTACAATTGTATTCCGACTGCTAAAAGGAGTAGCTCTCTGCCATTTCTGTTTCATAAAACCTTTCAATCAAAGGTTGGAGACCCCTCCTCTAGTTTATTTCACTTGTTAACTTATTTAAAGTTCCCAGTGGCTGCAGAGGCCTAATTAAGAGGTTTATTGAAATGAGGACATGTAGAGATATGCTCCAGCACCTGCTTCAGACTGAGGCATCTGGAGGCCTGCATGTCATTATACAACACTCCAGGGAGCAGGCAGAGTGCTGAGTGCTGAAATCCACAGTGTGTGCTTCCAGTCAGTCAACGAGTTTCTCCAAGCAACAAACACTTACTAAGAGGAGAACTGACTTTTCAATATTCTAACCCTGTTAATTCACATTGAATTGGGACTATTGTAAGATCAGTTGATGTACAGTAAGTACCTAAACAGTGAGCTTTGAAGACATTGGCGCTCCAGTTGCCAGAACTCAGGCACACAGCTCTCCTGTTTCCCTTGAGGCTGAATCCTTGGCGACATGTGAGAAGACAGACGGCCCCTGATGGCAAAGCTCTCTTACCACAAGCAGGGGGCGACACCACAATGTTTTTCAGGTTCACAATAGGTGGACAGCGCACCTCTAGGATAAGATGACAAAAATAGAAATCATGTTTTACCGATTACAGATCACAAATATTCTGAATGATGTTACATTTCGTCTCTGTCTATGATCAATCTTTTAGCAACTTCAAGAGAAAGTCTGACATTAAAGCTATTTCCAGAAGCAAGAAAGAAAATCAGACCATAGAGCTAAACAAAACATAACAAACATTTATTTTCAGTAGCCTCCCTGTCTCAATTTGTATCGGATAAAGATGCGTTCATTTTCATGTTGCTCTGAAAGCCAAGTGGATCCGATTTCACCGCAGAGCAAACAAACAGTAACAGACCACAGAGAAGTGTAGTGTAGTTGCTGAGGAGGCAGTGACAGGCTGCAGGGAGGTGGTCAAACACTTCAGAGTGCGAGAGCCAAGAGATGAGAGTTATCGATAAACACAAATTCCAGCTTTATAAATAGAGCAGATAGAGCTCAGAGGTTTGTGGCTGAACACTGCCTGTTTAGTGTTTTTAAAATATGAGCTGTAACCAGCAGTGTCTGCATGTGTGTGTGCTCTGGTAAAGCAGATGGATATTAACACATGTCTGACGGTGTGAATGTAAGGTCTTGTATAATGTAAAGATGGGACGCCATCATATTGTCTATATATATTGTGATAAATGCCATGGTAACACAAATGATAATATAATAACTACATACTGTACTTTAAATTGGTGGCACTTTACATTACGCCACAGTAACTAAGAGGAAATAGGATATAAATACCATGTTTATTACCAATAAAGAATATGATTGTCACAATTACAGCTTAATTCCAAGCGCTACCTTTATTTTTTGTCACAACCAGACTGGTTATTTTTAATCATTAAAATGTAATAGTATAATACCCTGGTTTATTTTTCATTACTACAAGCCATGCCACAATTTTGCACTAAATTATTTTTTCCATCAGGTTCTTACTGAAATAATATTAATTTAAGGATTGGCTATTGCAGCATGTCAAGTGTAAAGAGAAATTAAGATGTGGCGCCTGTTGTCTAATTCAAATGATGTATTTGTCCAGGAATTTGCAAAAAAACAATGTTTTTTACTTTAGTAAACGGGTTTGTTAAAATCTGAAATCTCCCCACTGTGGGAAGAATAGAGGCTAGTTTTTGCAAGCCCGTATATGTTCTTATTAAAATAAATTTTCATATAAGTCCCTCTGTCCTGAGCAGCATTCTGTATCTATATTCAGCATCAATATTCTAATATAGATGACGCCTGATTTCAATTCTTACCCACACATCGGGGCAAAGTCCCATTCCACTGAGAGTTAGCCTGGCATACAAGCTTGGATTCCCCTTCCAGCCGAAAACCACGATCACAGCCCACATGACATTCCACCCCATAGGAGGCGCCACCTTTAGAACATTTCAGGAAGCCGTGTTGAGGTCGGGACAGGGATGGACAGGAACGGACTGCAGTGAAGAAGAAAAGTACAACATGATGGCTACTAGTATTTTGAGTATTTATGCTCAAAATACTAGTAGCCAGACTTCTCAACGGTTTTGACAGGAGGGAGCACATTACCCTTGTTTTAGCATCACTCCACAAGCTCCCTGTGTGTTATAGAATTGATTTTAAGATTTTTCTGATCACTTTTAAAGCTCAGGCTCCAATTACCATTACTGGAAGTTGTTTCTTCCAGTTTATAAAATTATGAAACGACAAAAAGGAAGTGAATACAATTTGGAATAAATTGGTAAGGAATGGAACCCTGCAGCACTTTGGGGTGAAAGATATTTGAGAGAGCCAAGTTAGCTCTTGACCCTTCCAGAACTGTAGCAGGAGTCCCAGTGTTGCAGCCTGCGGAGGATGCTGTGATTGACCGTATCGAATGCCAAGCTTCACTCTAGAAGCATAATAGTCAATATATCTCCAAGTAGAAGGAACCATCAAAAGAAAGGATGATCATCCCTCCAAAACACTACACAGTACCTTGCCATTTATTCTAAAACATGAAAGTTTACATCAAATAAAAGAAAATATTGTTGTGTATTTCTAAGCTGAATTATGCTGAGGTCTTGGAGAGGATGTGAGGAGTGTTTTTTCTCAGACAGACAGGCAGTTAAGGGAGACCCCCTCCCTCAGGGCTGTTAGCTGGCAAGCTGGGAGGTCCTTCCAGGCCAAGCCTAGGCTTAGTGAACACATACCAGCAGACACATTTGAAAATATATACCAAAGCCACATACTATAAATCTCTTGTATCTTGTGCATGTTTAAGGTCTGCTACGGCAATGAGTCACAGGCTGACATTAAAACAAGCTTCTTTCTAATTCATCTCCACACCTCCGACTGTCTCACATTTTCTATTGGTTTTTCCTTCTCATCAGCTGCCTTCCACATTTATTTCCAAGCATTTTTGTGCCTTTCACATTAGGCTTGACACTTAACATAGGGTTTCTTATTCTGTCTAAACAAGAAATAACTGTGTAAGGAACGTTTTTGTAACACTCAACAGACAAACGTAGAACAGATTGTTTCATTGTAATGAAAGCAGTTCATCAGCTATTACCATGGCAGGAGGCAGGTGTCCCGGACCAGGTGCCGTCAGCCTGACACAGCCTGATGCTGGTTCCCTGAAGGACATAACCCTGCTGACACTGCACACCGCAGGCTGCATCGTAATTATTGTTGCACACATTCTGGACGAAGAAAGCATGTTCAGGAGGATACAGAGGAGGACAGTGTACCGCTAGAAAAGAAAAAAAATTGTTTCAGTGTTTATTTAAGATACAATTTTAAGTGTAGCTTATTTCATTTTCTTTATCATATTTCAGATTGTGTAACTGTTACAGCCTGTGGAGTCTTACGTTGACAGGTCATTTCCAGTGGCTTGAATCCAGGCTTACAGACACAGTCACTGAGAGAGGTGCTCCCTGGCTGAGACGTGTGCTGTCGGTCAGGGCAGAGAAGGCAAGAACTCGAACCACCTGGGGTTCCCTCGGGTTTATATGTGCCAGGAGGACATGCTTACATAAAGAAAAGAAAAAGACATTTCAGAAACCAATTTTCAAGTACAAAGCTTGCTTAACATATATCCTGTTTTGATATGATACACCATCTACACAGTCTGAAATAGACAAAGAATAAGTGAGCAGATTACAGAGATAAGGCTCTACAAACTTAACACTATCCGTCTCCTTAAGTTTAAAAGAAAGTACCAATAACCTATCTAGTCTGGTCTAATTTCCTAAACATTTGAGTGATGAGAGCCATAAGAAAATCAATTTTAAATAAAAAAAAATGTCTATATGAATTTAGTTGGAGCACAGTCAAAGCTACTTGGGTTTTAAAATGTAACACCAAATATTTTGAGTTGTGTACGGGATGGAAGCACTGAGGGCAATGACCCCGAAGGTGAAGGAGTTTTTACAACAGATCCCTGGAACAACTTCGGAAATCGCAGAATAAAAAAGGTCATGTGCAGAAAAGCTATTGGAATATTGTGGGTGGATTAAATACAGTTTAATATAATTTGGCAGATAAATAAGTAAATACCAGGAAAAGTAAATATTATAAGAACCAAAATCTGATGAACAGACCTAAATGTGAAGCTGGCCTGAAGATAAAAAACCTGAATCTCCTGATGTGACTAATGATCTGTGTGACACAGCAGCCAAACGTTAAGTTTTGGGTCCATCGTGTAACTGCTGAGGGCTATGGAGTTTACTCTGCTTTCATTTGGGGAAGGAAGTGCAGCCAGCGGATCAGAGGACCATAAAACAGAAAGAGCTTGCTGTGTCTGGACTGAAAATGACTGTACGGAACGAGAGCAGAGGCTCAAAGAGAGCTTCTGTGCACTAATGATGTGAGGAAAGTCTACACCCCGCACCTGTGATCTGGAACTATTTATCCAAAAGCTACACAAATATTTAGTTCATGCTAATAACCTTTCAATGCCTGATATCGTCATCACTCAGAGGTTAAGCAGAGAAGAGCCTGGTTATAACTTGGATGGGGGACTGCTCAGTGAAGGTACAGTATTTGTCCTCAATATTTGACCCATCCTTTAACGTGTCAGAGCAGTACGACTCGTTCCATTTTTGTGTGAAACAAGCATCAGATCAATCTGAATCTTAATACGATGCTATTGAATCATTTAGCATATTTTTTCTAAAGGCTTTTACTTTCAAACTTGCTGTTAAAAGTCAGGTAAAAAGGCAAGCACATTATATAGATTTGGTAGTATATCTACAAAAATAAACTATTTGTCCAAATAACAAACAGGAGCTTAAAATCAAAGTCTTGTTACTAAATCTGGAGCAGTCATTAGCCCGGTCAATTGACGCTCTCCGTTACCTTCAATTACGGGATTTTTATAGCTAAAAACAATGTGGACGTGTAAAGAAGATTTCCACTCATAAATGACTTTCCATGCACTCTGAGGTGAAGAAAAAGTCAATAAAAATTTAGTCATTAAGAACAATCCTTTGAAAAGGGTTGGAGCCAGCATTCAGAGCTGGCTCCAACCCAGAACTTCATACACTTCCGTTGAGCGTATCTTGGCTTTGCAACTTCCCAGTACAGGTAGATGAGGTTTCTTTGGATATGACATACAGTATATGGGAAATAATAATTTTGGAATATAAAATGGAACTTCACAAGAAGCTCATCCGTCTCAAGGAAAGTGGACATCTGGTTTTGTGTCTGGCCCTTTTCAGATATAAAAATAGACGGCGGAAACGGAGATGTTTAGTGTGTAAGCGTCTGCACGGATCGGGGTCACAGTGATTTTCCATTGTGAAAACATAGGTCATCTGAAGCAGAAAGTGTTTGGGAATCCCATCGTCGAGAAATGTCAGGAGGCTTTCAATCACCAGACCAGAGTCTCATTTAGTCTGCTGTTCTCTCCGGCTCGACAGCTCAGGGAAAATGGGAGAGGAAGTCCACCTACGCAGGCTCCAAATGAGGAGGGGTTGGCTTCTGTAGACCCAGGATTTGACAGGTCTCCAATATGACGCAAGAGAGTCAATAGATTTACTTTATGTGCAACCTGAAGACGTCAGGACTATGATCAATATATATCAATCTGACATGAATCTGACATGAAATCTTGAGCAAGGGTTAGGGTTAGGGTTAGCAAGAATTGATCCTAAAAAAACAAACAGACACACAGATCAGGGGAAGACCCAGGGCACATTCGAAGAACTATTTCTCCAGCTGGCCTGGGAACGCCTTGAGATTCCCCCAGATGAGCTGGAGAAAGTGTGTGTGGATAGGGAAGTCTGGTGCCTCTGCTCAGACTACTGCCACTGCAACCCGGCAATGAAAAAATTAATTTCTTAATGGGGACCTTTCCTTGTTTTTGTTGGAAGAGATAGGACCTTCTTTGTATTTTTTACAAAGATGTTGATCCATACCATAAAAACAAAGTAAAATTAAATATTTTACAACCAGGAACATAGTAGCTGTATCATTTACACACACTTTTAAATTCAGGACACTTGTGCCTGTCTCCACTATCCATCTACAGAAAAGGTATCCAGAGACGGGAAGTGTTAGTGTTGACACCACACAACCCAGAGCTGCTGTCACTCTCAGGCCACAGGGGAGATACTGTGAGCCCCCACAGGTGACAGATAAAAACATGTGCGCAGGCTCTATTACTATGCAAACTGACTTTACCACAGCCATAGACTCATATACATACAGTACATACTCTCATATGCAGAATAAACTCTGCACTGAAGCCGTCGCAATATTATTGGTTCTAATGTTATAATAGAAGCAGTAAATCCTTTGTGAGAACGAGGGCTATAATGATGGATACAACTACTACATATATAACAGTACAATATCACAATGCACTTATGCAGAGTAGACTGAAAATGGTTTGGTGACCTGAACTATCTCATGGAATTCCTGACATGTTTTGTGGAAGACGCTGTTTGACTTGGCTAATGAGAAACGCATAACTAACATTGTATTCTTTGGACATCATTACAAGGAACCCTCAGCAATTAAAACAATAATCCACTCAAAGGCACTATTAAAGTCTAGACCACAAACTATCCAGAGTCAGTGCAACTCAGAGGCACTTTAAGGTTAAAGCAACAGCTAATATTCAAGTGAGCTGTGCTGGCATTGAGCTTACTTACTCACCACAACCCTAATAGATTTTTGAGGCAGCACTTCATCAAATACAAGTTTAGTTATGAGAAAATAAAGCACTTAATAAAAGTTGTGTTAAAAACACATGAGGTATTTCACACCATGTTGTAAAAAACCTGCAAGGTTTTGAGTCGTACACAGAATTACAAAAATTAGCATATATCTTCAGTAGTAAATAACAGGAGCCGTTCTCTTGGTTTGAGCATGTACAGCATCACTCCTTCACATGCTGCTCGAGCCAGAGCTGTGTCTGCATTCTTCTATCAATTAAACCGATTAATAACATCTCCAACATCTGTGCTTTTGGCATACTGACCTCCTCATCCTTTTTCTTTTCTCTCTTTAATAAAAAATACATCAACACACAGTTCCTGTTCAGATACTAGACGTCCATATTTCCTCATCTCAATTTAATGAATGTTATAGGATTAAAAACACATGGGTCAAACAGAAAGGCCAGGGGGCAAGTGCAGGCAGGGGTTGAAGTTTGAATGAACCCTCAAAACAGATCGTTATCTCGACTTTTACTAGGATTATTTCAATTTCAACTTCAGTTCAACATAGCACACTACTTGTATCTCTCACTTGGATGTGTGTATAAATTATTGACACACCACTTATCGACCTGAAGACATGAGTGTTTGAGACCAGATCCAATGCGCATGTATAGACATACAGGATACCTATTGTTTACTTGATATTTTATGTTTGTACAATGATGATCAGTGTCTCCATACCTGTACACTCGTGCTGCAGGCCTTTGCCGTAGTATCCCTTCTCACAGATGCAAGCATACTGTCCGGTGTGGGAGCCACACTTACAGCTGGCCATCACATCACAGCAGTCTTTCCCTGCTTCACACAAAGACGAACACCTGGACAAGTCTTCTTGGATGTAACTCCCCATGGAAAGGTCAACAAGGTCTAAAGGGGGGAAAAATAGAAGAGATAGGATATACAGTATTTTAAGATATTTTTGTTCCATTATGTTGAAGCCAGAGAAGACAAATCATCCATCTTCTCCATATCTAGAGTTGCGTCTACCATGCGTTCTATTACGTCATTACAGGTTTCAAATCCATTTATTTGGAAACTCCCCAGTTAGTGTGGGAAAATGTGTGTCATTCTATGAAACAATATATCTGAAGTGTCAAAGTTTATCAAAACATAACTTTCTCTTGGTATAAGCATATTACATCATCAGCCTGATAGTACCTTCATGTAATGCATGACGAGCCAGGGCCTCAAACTCCTCAAAGTTGTGGACTAAATAACAGTGCTGGTCTTTTGGATTCGACGCCATGTCATGGAGTTCTCTGATGTTTCCCTGCCAGATGCCCAAAGTGAAGATCTCGACGTCCCGATCTCTCAACGCTGCAGCCACAGGCCGAGGGTCCCCACCATTGGAGTAACCATCAGTGATTAAGAATATGGCCTTGCTCGCATTAGCTCGGGAATGACGTAAAATTTGCTGTTGGGGAAAAAAAGTTAGTTAGAACAGAGATCTTGTAATTAAATGTCTAAATGAGATATAATACATTATGTGTAGCTAAAATGTAAGGTCTAAACATTCTGTCCTATGTTCTATTTTGCATTTGTCTGATCATGTCAGTGCTGAAAGTACAAGTTAAACACAAATATTTTACTGACTGCCAAAACCAAGTTATTTCTAGATTTAGTGACACTGAACAACGTCACAGAAGACCACTAAAAACAGCCCTCAATTCTAGGGTTCCTCAAAACCCTGCATCAGCATGAGGGCACAAGAGGCGAGATGGAAGAGAAAATCTACAATTGTAATTATTTCTCCTTCAAACTGTGCAGCTGAAACCACTCCAGAACATTGGCAACACAACCCAGGCGGCTGGGTCCACCCCTGAGACTAACTTCAGTTCCCAAACTAACTATAGCCTTGTTTATAATCCAACACATACAATTACACAAAACTTAAAGGTCTAAATCTTTTTTTCTTGGGAGAACAAAGAGGTTGATATCTACTTGTACTTTGAAGGTCAACATATAAGCCCTAGTATGTAAATTTTTACCATGTTTTTGTGTCCAAACATGCATCTTGTGTGCATGCAAGTGGCAAAACCTGCATGTGAAAGCCTGACATATCGCTAATCTAAGACAAACCAACAGATAATTGACAGAGGGTTTCCAGACAAGACTGGACATTAGAGCTTGACCAATTATCAGCACCGATATTGACCATAATTGATATGTTGGTATCAGACATTTTTTCAATATTATGTAGATTTTTTAAAATCGTTTTTAGTCATTGAGTCAAATATTGGTCTTGTTCAGGCTGCTGGTCGATAACAACAAGGATACAACTGAACTAAAAAGTATTTTTGTACCGTAAAGAAACATTCTGAGTTCAAAATTAACTAAAATAAGATCACATTTCATTTGGATAAAATCACAAAAAATAATAGTCTGCATCTGTTACCTGGGAGATCACTCCAATTCTGCTCTGATCTGTATATACAGTGAAAATTATTATTTCCTATCTGTTATTTGTTTTGTAGTGTTTGTATTCCTTTAATAAATGACACCAATATTTTAACTTTTACCGCAAATGAAGATCAGCTCTATATATTGGTTATCGGCCTCCTTGACTCCTATTTATTCTTCAAAGCTGAAAACACATCAGTGGACACGGTGTACCAGGATGTGACCACAACGCTGAAAGTCTAATGGTTCAAAAGTTCTAGCTGCAGTAATTGCAGAAGCTGTTATGTGAGAAGCAAAGAGGGAGAAAAGGGAGAAGACTGTTCTGTTCTCTAGGAAGGGTCAATAGTCCGTTCACAGCTGTCAGAGAGAAGATCAGAGACCCTCCCTGTCTGTATGGCCTACCAGCTGTCAGCACACTGATACATCTCTGTGGACGCACTACAGTAGAAGTGAATATGGAAATAGTTTATCAAATGTGATGCAAATTTAAGTTTAACCGTATTTTCTATCTTTTTTTAGTCAATGAAGCGGTACAAAAATCTGGTAAGTTCAAGCCTAAAATGGTCCAATGCCATAGTAGTTTCCCATGAGTAATTTTGAGTGGTCTGTGAAGATGTCACCAGTCTGAGAAAGCATACAGTCCATAGCCACAAATTATACCTTTCCTAAATAATCTTTATATTTCTCATTCTTTACAGTGACTCCAGAAAGTTGTTCTGCAATTTCCCACAGTACACAAGCTTCGTCAATAGGTCACAAACATGTTTTGAACATGTTTCATGCATTTTCCGATTAAACTTTCTAACTGTTGAACATTAGTTGCTTGTTTGCTCATTAGTAATGTTGCTTGTTGTTTCTTGGCATTCCCAAAACAACACATGTCTGATTAGACTTCAAACGCAGAGTTCTTTGATTTTGGCAGGGGATATGGAGAAATCTCCCCACACCATGAACAAAATGAGATGTTGCCAAAGCAGGCCAGCTGTTAATCAAAGGTCTATTTATAAATGCATTGGCAACCAAGCTGAATGCTAATGAACCAACTACAGCCCCTAAATGACAAGAATAAGTGCAAGGAGCTCAAGAAGGCACCCGACATGTGGCACTGCACAGGTGACTGGAGCTCAGAATGCTTCACAGCCTCCGGGTCATCAATGTTGTGACATAAAAAAAATCGTCATCTTATACCATATACATCTACAGGGTCTAAAAGGTGTAAAATTATGCAGAAATCAATATACTGCAAACCTAACTCAACAAACCTAAGCTAAAATGCGCTAATTTTCTCATATAAAGGGACTTAACTTATCTTATAAACACAGTAGAATACTTATGACAAACTAGAACAGTGCCATAGAAATAAATGTTGATTGATTGATTAATTTTTCTTATTAATCATGTAAGAATGTACATGTACATGTACAGGGCGGCAGTAGCTCAGTTGGTAGAGCGTTGGCCTTTGAGCCAGAAGGTCGTGGGTTCAAGCCCCGCTCAAGACTTTCACCATCGACTCCCACTGACTACTGTCGTTGTGTCCTTGGCAAGACACTTAACCTCTGGGAACACCAGCCACAGTGGGGCGGCTGCGGCTGTAAAGTGCCAAACTGCCGTTGTGTCCTTAGGCAAGACACTTCACCCCCATTGGTGTGTGTGTGAATGGTTGGTGGTGGTCGGAGGGGCCGATGGCACATACTGGTTGCCTCGCTTCTGTCAGTGTGCCCCAGGGCAGCTGTGGCTACAGTAGTAGTTTATCACCACCGTGTATGGAGTGAATGAATAATGACACATGTGAAGCGTCTTTGAGTGTCCAAAAAAGCGCTATATAAAACCGATGCATTATTATTATTATTATTATTACTTGGGACAGTGCATGTTATTGGCCATACCTCTCTGGCTTGTTGTTTTGCATTTGCAGTAGTTCAGTTCAATTTCAGCTGTAAGTACATGTAAAATGTGACCTACTCACCCTTAACATCAGGCAGATCACATCTCACATCATGAACATCTAATACAAAATAGTTATTTGTCTGCGTGATAGTGTTATGTAATATCTGAGTTGAATCGTGACATCAGACTGAAACTTAGAAAACAAACAAAAGGCAACCGTGTGGTGAGGAGCGCTGACTCCAGGCTGCTACTCTAAAAGTGCTTATACATTGGGAACAGTGGGGACTGACTTTTGGCTTAAGGCTTTGATGAAAGTCTATCCCACATCTTCCAAGCTTAGGTTAGACCACAGAGACAGGCTTTCTTCGTTGATTGTTAATGGCTGCATTCTCCATTCTTTCCTTTGCTTCAGAAGTTAATTCATCCTGGCACTCAGAGTAGAAAGAGAGTTCCCCTTGTAAAACTGAGAATACAAAACCTCTCTGAAAAGTAATCTTATTGATCACCTACTTATTGATTTCCCACTGCATGTTTAGAGCACTGTTACTAAAGTTAGAGAATAGAAAACACATTATTTTGACCACAATGAGTGAAAAAATATGTTTTTTAGTTCAAATATCAACTTTTCTGCCAGGGGTTGTAAATACTGTAGAATACTGTAAGCAAATAGAATTATTGCTTTGAGATAGCACTGACGTAGTTTACATAGAGTAAACTAAAATGTGAATGTTTTAATAAATCAAGACATGGGCAGCCACTATTCTTTTAAACAGGAAATATACAGTTGTTGCTTGGTAATGCTAAGTTGGCACCCATACAGTATTTTAAATCTGTTCATGCTTGTAGGATGATTATTATATTGACAAATGATTCAACAACTGATGCTGTATTTAGCCTTCAGCAAATCAGTCAATTTTGTCCACATATAGGCCGCACTTGAAAATAAGCCACAGGTTTCATGTTGTAATCCATGATCCAAAAACTGACTATAGCCCTGATCATATTAAAACACATGTATCTCTCTGCACTTCCTCGTATCTCTCTCTGCTGTTCGCATAAACACACCAGGAAGCAGGAATGTCTGATATGTTATCAGCTCTGGAGATAAACAGCTGATAGAACTTTGTCAAATTCCCTGCACACCAGGGAGCCCCCTAACCATATAACAATACATATATTGGCTGCGTCTCTATTTAGGACGCACAGTCAAAAGAACTTGAAAAAAGCAGCTTGACCTCTAGCAAATTCTGAAGCCACTTATCAGAATAATTATTGGTTAATAGCAAACACTACGGTACTAAAAACTGTGACGGCTATAAAAGGCAAGTGATAACTAATAAAAGATATCACACACCTACACCTACTTAGGCTCCACCCGAGGTTTTGTTGACTGAGTAATTTCAATTTAGGGTTCATCTTGAGGTAGTGTCAGAGGCAAACAATATTAGTTTTGGTGGATGTCAAAGTCTAGTTTTATTTACACATTTTCTCCAAGTGCTGCAGTCTGACCATGTGACATCAACTGTTCTATTATTTCAGTCTATCTAATAAGCATCATTTACAAAGTGAGTTGCTTTTATATTGTAATTCTGTCACATAAAGCAATAATATTAGTGCTTATCCCAAAATATATGTCCTCCAGGGCTACTCTTCAAAAGAAATTTGGAATGTACCGGATTTTTGGTACCATAAAATGTTGTGAGTAACTTTATGTTGTCTGAAGCAACTACTCACAGTCCTGGAAACAACAACAAACATACATATATAGTGACAAATAAGTCCACTGCCCACAAAAGAAAACACGTCTTAAGAATTTGGCCCTTTCAAATCTAACCTCAACATTACAAGTGACTTAGTAATAGCCCTGTAGACCATAAAAACAGGTTATTTTGTTTGCCACTGCTGGAATGCTGAAATTATTTAGGTTTTCAGGAAGCCAAAATAAATAATTGTGCATGAATAAGTTGTATAATAAGTTGTTTTATCCAAATTGTGGGGTGTTCAGTGAGTGGATTTCATAGTTGAGATAATTATGAACCTATTAACAAAATGACTAGTTTCAACATCCTGGTGGTCTGGTGGAAACACGATTTTCCAGTGAGTTCACACACTGTTCTCACATAATACATTTGGGACTGAAATGCAAAATTAAAGAGGCACAGAAGTGTTTAAAAGGTTTCTTAGATTTCAGTATGAACATTATGAGTTCATACTTCATAAAGCCAGTGTTAGCAGTTTCACATTATGTTAATAAAACCTTAACAAAGTACTGTACATCTAACCAATAACTTGATTGTTGAGTCGATCTTTTGTTGGCTTTTTACATAGTTATCCAAAGTATAGCCGTGACTATGCAAAAATAATCTCAATTCGTGGGAATAACAATAACTATAACCTGCTCACCGCAAGAGTAACATGGCTTTTTAGAAGGTGCACTAAGTAAATAGATGGAATTACACAAAGTTAATGGATGGGAAATTCAGAGTATAAGAAGAAATTGTTAACAGGCAAATGTGGTTTATTATTGTAGCTTGGGTCAGGGCACATAAAAAGTGCAGACATTGTGGCTGTGACACTGGCCTCACTCACCTCATTTTCATTGACTCTAATGGGACAGTCTGGGTTTGGCAGAAACACCAGAGTCTATGACCATGAGAGCACAAGCGAGGGCCAAGTAGGACACTGTCGCACACCCCACATAGTAAACATGGTGGACTTCAAATGGTATTAATGGCATACTTTCAGGATGTCTACAATAACCTGACGGATCTATAACTTCATAAGAATTTCAAAGTGCTGTGGACCCGTTGGGAACACATGGAAATGGATCAAAGACATTGGTCCTTGTTTTGTGACACACTTGTTAAAATTAGTCATGAATTGAAAGGTAGACTTTTTCTCATAAATCACGCTGGAGATGCCTCACGCACATTTAAAGCAAATTATGAAATTATGAAGAAGCCTTCGAGTTTGCCAAAGATCGGAAATGAGGCCCCCATTTCTGGAAAATATTCACAATCCAAGAATGCATATCCCAGAGACATGGGAGAACACAGAGAAAGTGCAGGTTGCCGTTAACCAACATGTCAAGACAAATAGCCCTTATCAGAGCAGGATAACAATAACATGTGAATCACCATATATTTCATTTTGCAAGAGTATTTTAGAAGAGGCCAAAGAATTTAGGTTTGGAAAGCACCCGTCAATATTTCTTCATACCCAAAAGAATCAGAAGAAAAAGGCTATTTCAGCTTTTCCTCTACCCCAACACAGAAACGTATAAATAATTGGGATATGGCACAAGATCAACTGCTGGATAGTGTCGGGGAAATACTTGCATATGTATTCAGTTAGAGTTCTGAACACCAGCATTACACATTACTTTAAGGGAGCAATTGGAGAGCTGTATTTGAATTCTTGGAATACTTTGATAGATTGTAAAGAATTAAAAAAATAAAAATTGTTTTGCAGCCAATACAGTTCATACCAACGACCCCAAACACCAGACAGCCGGTCAGAATTCAGAGGCGTGGTGGGCTGCTTCCTCCGACACATATCTCATGTTGTGATCATCAAACAGTCACTGATCCTCCTCCAACACGCTGGTTGTTTCTGTGTTATTGAGTTTTACACTTCTTCCTGATTGTGCCATCTATGCTTGTTCTGATTGGTTGACGCCGGAAATTTCACAGCTGAAATTGAGATGCGGTATTTTTATTCAGAAATGATCGGAGGATAAAACAGATGCTTCACAAATCAATATTATCCACCCGGATTCACCGCAGACATATTCAAAAATGAGACATACTCAGGAGATTGTTTTAACTTTCCAGCAGAAGCTTCTCCAACATTAACATCTCGTCTGCAAGTGTTTCGTGTAAGAACCATCTTCCAAGTCCATCTCCATGGGCCTAATATAAGCAGCTTACACAAGCCCAATATAATCTAATAGACAGTGTTTTGAAAAACAATACCACATATTTGACTGTGATACGTCAAAGTCTGACACAAATGTTCCCCTGCCTGGGCAGAGGTCTGTCTGCTCTGAGTGATGGGAGGTTAATGGAGGGAATAGGAAAAATTGCAGACCTGCAGGAATGAGAGGGAGACCACACAAACCAATCCCTCGTCCAGTCGGCCTGCGCTGCTGTGGTCTGGCAGAGCCATATAATGAAGGTCATCTTTTAAAGAAGTGTTCTGCTACAGCGTTTAACATACGCTCCCTGTGGTTTCGCACATGGGCCACAATAACTAATAAAGTCACACAACTTCACTTTGGGAATTCCCTTCCATTGGAATAAATACAAAGTTAATTTGTTCCATGAGCCTAATAACTCTAGAGTACACGCACAAACTCTAGAATACACACACACATTTGTCAATCCCCAACTCCACAATAAATGAGTCCTGACACTGCATGTGAAAGTGCCCAGTAGACAGAGTTCCGAGGCTCCTGATTAAAAGTGATCCCTCTTTCCACCAACTTTCCTGACATTCAGGAGGAACAAGTATCTCAGGTGAATTGTCACATAGATCAATTGATCTTCTTAGACTGACTAATGAGTGTACTGCAGAGAGTTGAACTGTATTTTCAGACACTTAAAACCTACTTCTGAGTTCCTGTGGAAAAGTCCACCAACAGTTCAGCAGTAGCAACTGGAATCTTTACAACAAGTCGTCCCGAAGCCTGAGAATATTTGGCAAAGACATAAATACATGGAAACTCTAAAAGCAGAAAACTAACCTGAATTATAATCACACAATAGCTGGTCCACAACTCGCCTAACCTGTGATTTGGAAGAGCAACTACTCTGGTCTTTAAAGTGCATCAGCTGTTGACTGAATTTTCAAGACTAAACGAAAAGTCAGCGTCGTTTATGTTTCTGCTGAATGAGACAGACACAGACGCTGTCTGCTGGAGGAGAGCCCTGTCCCTACATGCACGGCTGGTGGAAAAATGTTTCTCTTAATGGATCCCAGCCTTCTGCAGAACTTTGTATCAGACCTAAATATGTCTTTTATCATTACAACAATTAGCCTTTTTCTCTTGGCTCAGTTCCACATTGACTGGCCTCACAGATGTAACTGCATAACTCGTATCCATATGTTCCCATCATCTGTGTACTGGTGGTTACTTGCACCTAAAGGCTCCAGATTCAACCATTTCAGACCATGAGACAGTTGCATCATAGTTCAGGCGGTGCACGATGACATGCGGATGTGCGGGCTTTCCATCACTGTTAACAGGCTGCACTTTTATGTAGCTAATGGAAACAGACGATAAACGCTCTTTTCTTCTTTTTCCAGTGAGATTCAGACAGAAGATAAAAAAACTACTAGAGATGATCATGATAAATCACAGATGGCCCCGATTTTAACACTGCTTCTTCAATCATGCAAAAACACACAGTAAATGTCAGACCAAATCTGTCAGGTGAGGGCTCCATTCAGGGGATGTGGTCAACCTTCTGCAACTGAACTTGGTATCTGCTAGTCTCATTTATCTTTCCAAAGGGTGCACACGTAGTTCTGCTATTACTCATGTGCTGCCTGGATGGACTTAATAATTCAAACAAATACCAAATGGTAAGAATACTAATTTTTCTCCCATTATCTTTTATAATTAAATTAAGTGCTTATAATTCAGCATGGTCAAAGGAAAGTTTCAGGGACTGTGTGGTGCTATGTCTCCCACTATATCACTTGATAAATCAGCTCAAACATGTTAAGTGTTTTGAGACAAAGATAAGCAGTAGTCTCCCCTAGAAACTCTCTTCTCGGTATTGTTGTGGATTTCAGTGGTTGGGGCAAAGCCAGCAGCTTCCTTATCAGCACTTAACTAAACAGGGTGCACGTAGAACCTGTCCTGAGGGCCAAGTTTTCAACACTAAGCTGGGGCCACTGTCCAAAACCATTAGCTTGAAAACCAGATTAGTGAACCTGCCATACCAAACTGTTATTATATTCACAATAAAATATTGGTTCAAAGGTTAAGGTCTAAAAAATTGAAGTTTGATCTAATTAATTACAGCTTCTCTGTTGATCAAATTCAGGGCTGAGGTGTGAGTGTTTTGGTACTGACTTTACACCTACCGAGTTTTTACAGCTGGACCTAGACTTGACAGATGAACACTCCCATATGTGCAGGATGCATGGATGTGTTAAACCAGAATAGGCATTTGGTATTATTGGTCTACATCAACCACCCTTTCAACACATGACCTCTCATAGCAGTATTCAACCACATTCTCATTGGGTTTTCCTTGTCTACATTACTGGATCAATCATAAACAGAATGGACAGGGGTTTGACTTACCGCTGCTCTTTGGAAAGCCCCCTTCGTGAAGGTGCCTCCTCCTCTGTAGTTGATGGCTGGGATCTCCTGGTTGAAAAGGGAACACTTGTGCTGGTTGGACTTAGGTGCCGAAATGTGGTCAACCCGAGCCACAACATGAGTTTTTGAAGAGAAAGTGACCAGTGCTACTCGTGTGTTCTCCGGAGACACAGGGAAGTCTGATAACATCTTGCGTACAAATCTTAGTTCACTGAGGAAGTTAGTGGATCCAACACTAGAGGACTCATCTACCAAGAAGACCAGGTCCAGACATAGGCTTTTCTCACGGAGCTGACGCAGGTTTCTCTTAAATGTCTGTCCAAGTCTCTCAATTTTGCGCTCTGCACTTTCTGAGAGGTTTCCCACTGGCGATGACATGTGCCTTGACCTGGTCTGGAGCTGGGGCTGTTCACCAGCCGGCCATGCTGTTGTCCGTACATCCAAGATACAAAGAAACAGAAACCAACAAGTCCAAGACAGTGTGAAAGGGTACCTTTGAAACAACATAATGATTTAATTAATAAAAGGCCAACTCATGCAGCGAAACTACGCTGAGAACAGTGCAAACAAGTGTCCGAAAACATCAGGCAGCAAGGAGTCCCAGTGCAGTTACTCAAAGCATTGCTGTAGTGAAGGTAATGATTAAAATGCTTCTTAGTCCATTTGCTTGGCTTAAGGTGCATTCAGCTGAAATAAATATCCTTTCTCCCCACGAATCTGCCAGTCCCTCCAAAAAGATAAGACTGAAGGGCTTCTTCGCTGGTTCCTTTAGTGTGTTAAAGACTGAATTGCTGTGGTCAGAGAAGGTCCCGGGTGTTATGTTCTCTGTCTCCAACTGTGTGCACCTCTGTGGCTGTCACTCAGTCTTACATTCAGTGCATTTGATCAAAAAGCCAGTTCCCAGTCAGTCCTGTTAAGATCTGCACAGCTGCTGGTTCCCCCTCTGAAGCTTCTGCCTGCTCGGCTAGCCAAGCTCTGAACGCCTGCTCCCCTCTGCTCCCCATATCATTAAAAGCACTGGAGGAGGAGAGAGAGGGAAAGTTAAGAGGAAAAGGGGCCGTCCTGTCGCAGTGAAGCCATGCTCCCTCCTCCCTCTCTGCATGGCTCACAGAGCATACTACAGTCTCTGCAGAAATTATAAATATTATTGTTGAATGGCATCAAGGAAAACAAAATCTTGATTTGATTCCCCAGATCAACCAGCCCTAATAAGGGGTGTGGGACTGGTATTAGTATTGGCACGACTTATTGGGCCAAGAATCGCATCCGATTATGTACAACATTTAGAAAAATCCCTAAATAATCATTTTAAAAACGTTAAAACTCAATCAACAAGGTGAAATCAATCTTGTATAAAACAGGATGTGGAATGTGTGCTGTGGAAAAATCCAAATTCAATGGTTTGCTTTTCCTCTCCTGACTCCTCTGTTTGTCCTGTTTAAGAAATAAAATACAGCGTGGATAAATTGCTGTCTGAGTGTGTCTATTTCCTCCAGCACCACAGGGATTTACACACAGTTAGAACTGCTGTGTTTCAATATATTCTCCAATTATTACAGCGTCTCCGCTTTCTCTATCCCTCCACTGAGATGTTTTTCTTCCTGATACAATCTGTAACTGAAGCATAGGCAGACACTGTGCAGGGACACTGCACCTAATAAACAACAAGAGCTCATATTTAGTTTGAGATTTGATCGTGTTTAACAATGAAAATCCTAAGTTTCTATTTATGGGGACAGAAGTAGAATAACACAAAGATAATGTATTTGTTTTTTAATGCTTGATACTTATATACAGAGTATTTTGTTTCCATACTTTTACAACAGCGTTTGGCTGAATCTTTAAGCTATCACGTCACGTTTTTGTGTCTGTTAATGTCCAGCACAAGTGTTTATATTAACAAAACATTCTGTTTTATGTGTCTATGTGTTCCGCCAAATGTAAGATAATATGAGTTAGGCAATGAGACCAACCTGGAGTTCATTAACCAGACGACTGAGGGGAAAATGGAGATCTCAAGAATGACCCATCACCTTGTCCTTCGACACGCACCTCCCGGGGCCTTCCTCTTCCTCTGCACCATCATTATACAGGACCTCAACTCTTTACCATCGGCTCCAAGATAAACATCATGGTGCAGTTTGACGCAGCCATCATTGAGTCCATCATCACCACCTCCTCACAGTGTCGTAGGCTGAGGGTCAAAGACATAGACTGCTACACATGGTACTTTTATATTCAGAATAGAAAAGGTCTGACCCAGGTCTGACTATATTCTTATCGTGAGGACCTTATAGATAGATAGATACTTTATTGATCCCCCGTAGGAGAAATTCAGGTGTCCAGCAGCAGAAGACTCTTTTTTGTTGTTGTACAGTCAGTGAGGTTTGTGGTACAGTCAGTCAGGTTTGTTGTACAGTCTGACAGCCGAGGGAACAAAGGATCTCTTGAAACGTTCCGTTCGGCAGCGTAGTGATAGGAGCCTGTTGCTTCGATTACTCCTCTGAGCGGCCATAGTGTCATGCAGAAGGTGTCTGGAGTTACCCTGGATGCCCTGCATTAGAGCCCTCATCCTTCTCTCCAGCACAGCTCCGACAGAGTCCACACTTCTTCCCGGTTACTGTCTCTCGAGGTCAGACTGCCGCCCCTAACCCTCAGACTGCCTAATGAACCATATGAGGTCAATGATTAGTCTTCTCCAGCTTGCTGGTCAACACAACAATGATACAACTAACTAAACATATATAGGTCTACTGCACAACAGCATTTATTTTGTAACACAGTTCTACTGTATTTGTGCCCTTAGCAAAGCAGTTTTAATAGTTTAGTTTGATTTGATTTATTTAATTAAATTCATTTTAATTTAACTTAAATAACAGGATCAAATACAAGTCAGCTTCTCCTACCTGGACTTTGAATTGTTGAACAAAATTATTAATGTATTATTTTTTTCACTTACATTGCTTATAAGGGTCAACCTACAGTTCTTCCTCGACTGAGAAGGTGATCGGCTGCAGCTTCCATCTCTCCTCGGGAGTGAGCAGCCACAGCTGACCCTACACACTCATGTTTGCCATTAATTATGATTAGGATCGTTATGGCAACTCAGGATTAAACTTCACCCTCAGGCAATAAATGGTCAAACATTTTCCTTGGGAAAAATAGTAAGAAAAAAAAAGTTGATTAGTACATACATGTAAATGTTTCTGATATAATTACAGAATAGCCAAATCCCAGAAAACCATTAGTGGCCATACCTGCATGCAAAAGCCAGATCCCATCAAACCTCCGAGTGTAAGCAGGGCAGGGCCTGGTTAGTACTGTGATGGGAGACCTCTGGGAACACCAGGTGCCACAGTGGGGCGGCTGCGGCTGTAAAGCCAGTCTTGAGAGTGAGTAAATGGTTGGTGGTGGCTGGAAGGGCCACTTCTGTCAGTGTGTCCCAGCGCAGCTATGGCTACATTAGTAGTTTATCACCACTGTGTATGAAGTAAACTAATAAAAAAAAGCACTAGCTATATAAAACTGATGATTATCTTTGTCATTAAATCATGAGCTCCAGCAAATAATTTCAGAATTAGACAGTGATTATTAGTCCATAAAGTGGAAGTGGGCTTTTCACTATTGAAAAGAAAAATATGCAAATGATAAATGTTGAGCACAGTCGATATGTTAGTGCAAGTCCATAGAGATACTATTGCGTCAAACTTTTGGAAGCGGTCCACTGAGGCCAATATCAACTGTAGATGTACATGGGTAGTTAGCATCTTACTGCCCTTTTCTAACGGGTCAATGGAAATGTGGGCCAGGACCAGGCACACACGCCGATACAAAAACAGACAAAGTGAAAGGGGGATGAGCACAGCTGTGACTTCCTGCTTTTGGCCTCCAGACTTTCGTGGGGGTCTCAAGGGAAAAGGGGGCTGGTGATGGGGGTTGTATTTCCAATTCCAGACAGGTCTATTATACATAACATCATAAAACTTTTGAGTACAACAGTTCAAATTTACTGTATGCGCCCTTTGTGCTATGTTTCAACAATAAAGCTCTAAAAATTGTGTGTCGTGTGAAATGACAAAAGAGACTAAACAAACAAGCAGGAACATTGTAGTTACAAAGCTCGGCTCAAATTTTACATCTGCTATCCAACAATTAAAGTCCTTTTCTTAGAAGTCTTTTAGGAAAAACAACAATTTAGACACAGAAAAGGATGTGTTACAAAAACAGCCAGACGTGCTCCACTGGGGAGAACAGTGGAGACCTGGACAAGTCAAAGATTACAGACCACAGCGTAGACCTGCACTTAGAGGCCAGTTTTAAAGTTTTTAAAATAGATCCTCTGTGAAGGGTGTCATTCGTGCATGGTGAACGGAAATCGCCCGAGCCAATTGGATGAGGGCATCTTAATAATTGTATGTTCGTGAAAGACTCGTTTAAGTTATCTAAACACCGACACACCCCAAAAACAAGAGCAGAACCAGAGACGACAGAGGCTCTTGTCTTGGTCATACCACGCACACACATAGTCCTGCTTTTTTATTTTATTTTATCACTCATTTTTTATGTGTCTATTTCAACATGGACATGATAATACACCACATACTACATTAACACATAATTGTAGTCCTGACACAATGACAAAAAGCAGAGAATATCAAAAGAAAAAAATATTATAGATGGACTGCAGGACTCCTTTGTCAAACTATTTTTTTATTTTTTTTTATGAATGTATTTAGTTGTTCTACATTTTGAATCATTAATTTGAAATGGTTTCATTGTTGATCATTGTATACCGTGCTGCTGCATGGGCGGCACGGTGCCTCTCAGCAAGAAGGTCTTGGGTTCAAATCCCGGTCGGACCAAGGCCTTTCTGAGTGGAGTTTGCATGTTCTCCCCGTGTCTGCGTAGGTTTCCTCCGGGTACTCCGGTTTCCTCCGGGTACTCCGGTTTCCCCTACAACTAAAAATATGTACAATAGGTCTGGCATGCGCCTCCTGTACTGGCCCCGCTCCCATTTCTTTGTGGAGTGAGAGACAAATGCCCAAAAATAACAATTGTAAACCGCTTTGTGACTCTGGTCTGTGAAAGGTGGAATATAAATAAAGATTACCTACTTACTTACTATACTGTATACATGTTCTAACAATTTCCAGTCTATGGTTCTAAGTGAGCTCTGTGGCAATCTGTAT